TCTTTCTTGGAGGCATCTTTCTTTTTTTCTTTTTTTTGAAGGAATGAGTATTCACTGCTGTGGTTATTTGGAAGAATGGATTTCTGAAATTAAAGTGAAAGAATTAAATGTTGCAAAAAAACATTGGCTAATGTACTGCATGCATAAAAAAAAACTGATACTAAGACGCTAGGTCAGTTTTGAAAATGCTCATTGAAATGTACATGTACAGAGAAAGTAAACATAGCAACCTGATATTCAATTTCTTGTATTAATTTCTTTAATTAATTAACCCTAACGAACCTGAACCCATCAAAATCCACACCCCTGTTTTGGAGTATTTCGGCAAATTCAAGACACCTCCATATTGAAAAAGTTGGGGGATTTTGATGGATTCAAGACAGTAAGCCTAGCGGTACTGCAGGATTTTGATGGATTCAGGATACCTCCATATTGAGCAGTTGGGGAACTTTGATGGATTCAGGATCTCACCAGTTTAACTCCTTGGCTAAATGTTTGGTGTGTACTAGGTATATGTATTACACTGGTGGATTCTGATGGACTCAATGGTGGATTCTAATGGACTCAGGAGACCAACATTTTTTTTGCATGACAAAATTGGTGGATTTAGGTGGATTCAGGATACTTTCTAGCAAAAGTGCTCAAGGAGTTTATAGGATTAATGAATATAGATGTAGACAAATGTAGACAAATCTACAGTTTAAGTTAAGTTCTTTTTCCCAATATATTTTTTTTATAGATCTTTTGCTCATGACTCATGAATATGCATACATACTTATTATCAGGGATGTAAGTGGACTCTGATTTGGGCAATAGAGCCAGAAAGTACGCCATTTTGTCTTTGAGCCTCCGGACCCCTCTGCGACCCTTCTATGGGGATTTTACATGGGGTTATCCTTTCTCTATAATTTTTGACAGAATGATTTCTAACCCTAATCACCCCCAGAGAAACATTCATGTTGGAATTTTATCTTGGCATTTCACAAGAAAAATATTGATGAGAAATCAGTTGGAGATAGGTAAAAACGAATTTTACTTTATACATGTATGACCTTTCACATCCAGATTTTCGTACCAACGTGTAGGTCTCCTTGTTCGATCACGTTTGTATTCACATTGCGTACTTCCATGATAACGACGCGTATATTTACCTACCTACATCCAATGGATTCTAGATTTAGTCGGGCTTGCTTGAATCATGCTTGAATACACTTCTTATCAACGGTCACTTTCGATTTATTTGTAAATGAGTATTAGTCCTTCAAGTTTTTTTTGTTTTTAAATGTATATTTACCGGTATGTCCCAAAAGACATTTTAGTCTCCTATTTAAGTTGCAGTTTTTTATCCAATGACCGCCACAAAACTATTTCATAAATTTCATCTTTGTACAAGTGCACCGAGTTCCACTAGTCCACATGTATTTAGATTCTCGGAAGTGAGAGGTCAATTTTTGGCACGATATTTCTCTTTCACATCATGTGATTTTTCAGTTCCCATAAATTGAGATGCTAGTAACAAATTACAAAGGCCTTTTCTGAGAAAGATTTTCTCAAGAAATCAATGTACCAAAATATTTTTTTTAATTCTGACTTTTACACGCTAATTTCCTATTCGAGGGGTCCGGAAACGCGCCACCACGGGTGAACTTTTAGGCTCTATTCCACACAAAGTGGACATTGTTGAAAATGGAACATTTATGGAAAATGTGGTATCAAATGAAAGGGGACAACAAGACCATTTATTTGAGTGGTGTGCTAGTGAGATAACATGTTGATTTCTGACATGTAACGTCCGTAACATTATAATGTAACATCCGTAACAACAAAAGCATGATGTTTCCATACCATCAAAGTTCATTTTTGTAAACTGTCATTGGTGTTTTTATAGAGTGAACCTACACGTATGTCTACCACAACATAGTTATTTTATTAAATTCTTGCAAGAAACTTCAATATCAAGTCATCAAACACTTGCTGCACTGATTTTCATAAAATATTCTTGTTTTTATTACCAGTGAATACAGCATATCTACACCAAAGGACAAAGAGCCCACCTTGAACTGCAGGTTTTCAAAAGATATCTTTCAAGTTAATCATGCCTGACGTTGACGATTTCAGAAGTACCACCTCTTGGATGAAATTGAACGATTCCTTACCGTTTTCCCAGATGACCTTTGAAACGAGTGATCCAACTTGTCATCGAGCAAGGCCAATCAGCGATATAAAATTCACAGTCGATTAATACCCCATCCAGATGCTGAAGATGAGATCCCGGAGATGCGGTCCGATCATCTCGTCTCCATCTCGCTCCTTCGTCACTTTCTCAAGCCACTGGAAATACCACTGCCTCCTCCTTCAAAGAGCGCATCCCATTCAATCTTGAGATTTCTCTCCGAGATGGCACAATATGTCTCTCAATCTTTCTCTCTCTACCCTCTGTTGAACTTTTGAAGGGCGAGGATGCACGGAGCCACCAAATCTCTTCTTGATCATCAAATCAGGGCCAGCCCCCTGACCGTGTTATCCTGTACCTCGATCCAAAGAAGTCATGAGAGAGAGAGGGAGGAATCTCTCCACGAGTAGTGCCCGCTCCGAGTAAAGGAATGTGGGGGGAGAGCTTATCGTATTAGATATACCTGGCTTGTGAGCCTAGAGGCATTCATCTTCTGTGGCCCTCCTCCAATTTTTTTCTTTTTCTTGTGGTTCTTTTCTCTTTTATTTATTTCTTCCCTGTGGCAGTCTTACCATCTTGCATGTAATAAACTTATGAGCCATGCACGTGGAAATAATGCCGGATTTATGGACGCATGATACGGTTTATTAATAGCAATCCCTGGACACGTACCTCGACACGACCAGCTGTTTCTGTTTTTCAGATCTATGCATCGGGATTAGCGGCACGGAGAAAAAAGTTCAGATTCTCGCTCTTGCTAACGAGATTCGGGCCACCGCTACAAATTTCCTCACGCTGAATTTTGTTACACTCTTACGTGGTTCAAAAAAGTATAGATCTTCTGCAAAATCAAATTATGGGACAAACATCCAAACAAGTTTAAATTGCATCCCTGAATTTTTTTTACTATCGTGGATAGTATAAGATGCTGCGGCAAATTAAATTGCTTCAATACTTCAATCAGTATAACCTTGTAACCTTGTAACTGAAATTCAGTTCATGTTCATGTATTTTTCAAGAGCTTCAGTATTTGCACTGTCATACAAGATGTTATTCATAGCAAATTTCATGAGTTAGCAAATAGCTTATGAAACCTTGTAATCCTGTATTCCAAACTTTTATTCCAATGTTGGGCATCTTCAACCCTTTGAAAAGGGGCTTTTATTTTGTGCACAAATGAACCCGCCCGTCGAGAGCCAAAATATTGTCTGGCAGCAAATAATTCAAATTTTGTAAAGAAATAATACAATAACTAAAGGTCGGTGGATTTTTTTCGTTTGATTTCTCATTCAAAAGTGAATCACTGTTATATTAATATGAAAATATCAATTGAAAAAAAAAATCTATTTTTGGGATGAAACTACAAATAGAACGAAGAATACATGTACATCTTTAAAATTATCGCAATTCAGCTACATGCATGACACTCAAATATAATTCCATCCAATACAAAAAATAAATTCAATAAATTGCACACACCTTTAACGCAATAAACAACCATGTGCAAAAGAACTCTATATTTAAAGGCATTTTTAAAGAATTTTTCACTGTCAAATCAACAACTATGAAACGCTACACAGATCTCAATGGCACGCGTCTCTGTCAAAGTCCCCCGTTGAAGAAATGGCCAACGTGAGGACAGAGAAGCCGACCGATTGATCCGACAAATAGGATTAAGGATTTGAGATCCTCACTAAGACCTAATCACTCTTCGTCAAGAGTCCGGAGTGAATATATTCCCTCGGAGCATCTGGTCATATAGCCGGGTTATTCAAGCTCAAGAAAAGAGCCCTGAAGGAGGGGTTTTGGAGGGGGAGAGTTGTTTACAAGTTCAGGGTGAAGGACAAGATGAAATGAAGCAGTGGAAGGGAAAAGAATAGGGGTCTCGTGGGGATTCTGGAAAAAGTCATCCTAGAAAGAAAATTGTCTGGATTTGTGAATATCGGTGGTAATTGTGACAGATGAAAGATGGAAGATGGTGGATTATGTGGGGGTAAGTAGAGCTTACAATTTCTCCCTGCGGAGTGGGGGAAAAGGTCTGATATCTCAAGCATGCTCAAAATTCCAAAAATTAAGGAGAAAATGATGATTTCTGATAGGTTAACAGTAAGCAATTTCCTTTGATTGGCACTGCCAAAAAATATATGCAAGTGAATTTTGAATTTTACCTTAAAAAAAATTACACAGAAAAAAAATGTGGTTTTGCTACACGAAATTGTTTAAAATGCATGACTGTTCACTTTGACATTTTGAATTATAGAATTGGTCACTGGTAATTGATGCCGACCCTGTTAAGTTTAAAACACCTTTCATTTCAGAAAGATTTTGTCCCATTGCTTAATACACATGTCCTGGTAATGTGCTGCCTGCATATTCAGGAACTAAACTTGGTAAATGTAAGTCAAGTAATTTTAGGCCATGCGGTAGAAAAGGGGTGAGTATCCTTTGAATTACAAATTACAGCACAAAGCTCTGGTTTAAAAAAAAAAAACACTTGCATGGCAAATATTTTCAGATTTATGGTACCATTCACAACAAACCAAAATCTTAACTCTGCGATACTTTTGTAAATGCCCCTTGGACACAATTTTCAACGGAAAATGTGCCTGAGGGCCAGTTTATACTTCAGGCGAATACATGTTTTTGTTCCAGCAAAAAAAAAAAAAGTCACAGCAAAATTCACCCAGAGTTGAAACGAGTTAACAGTTTTGCAACTTTGCATTGTCAAATCTCGACTTCACAAACATTTGTTCATGCTTGCATCAATTTGCTTGCAATATGAGCCTGCCGTTCTTCCCTTAATTAAAAGTGTCATGACAACTCCTACCTCAGTCTTGGTCTTGTACTTTTTCTTCTTTTCATGGTCTTTCTTCTTGTCGTGATCCTTGTCATCTTTCCTGAACACAAAACAAGAAAAGTGTAGAAGAGAATCAATTTATCTAGGAGCTCACTTCAATCACTCTTTTCACAACAGACTAATTTGACAAGATACTTTATAATAATAATTATAATAATGGGTGGGGGCCTAATCATCGCAGCAGAAGCTGAATTGCGATGGATGAAGCTGCAACGCGATCGAGCCCAAAGGCATGTAGAGCCACCAAAGACCCATGTCTGACCACAGGGCACAGCCAGATCGAAATGTTGATTTTTGCAGAGGGAGGAAAACCGGAGAACTCAGAGAACAACCGTTCTGGCACAGGAGAGAATCAACGAACAACTCTACTCACATATGAGTATACGAGACAGGAATCTGAGACAGGAATCTAACCCGGGCCACAGTGGCAGCGGCTGCAGTGAGAGGTGTGTGCTTTATGCACTATGCCACCCATGCCACCCATGCCACCCATTATTTATACCAAAATGATGACATTTTACAAATATGAACACTTTTTAGAGTCCAGTTATATTTTGTTCTGCTTTTTTGGAGAGCATTATCTCAAAAAGTGTCACTGACATTTAAAGTGGCTGACACGTACAACTGTGATTTTCTTTTTGCAGCAGCTGTACATGTAGATGTAAGATGGCGTTGTCTGGGTTATTTACTAAGGAAGGGCATCCTGCGAGCATGCGCTGGTCCATTCATATAATGTAGTTTCAAGACTCCTTTTTCATTCTACTGCTCACAATTCAACTTAGTGTTTTGCGCAGGAAGAATGAACCTGACTGTTGCCAGCAGGGTGACAATGTCACCAAAGGCTCTTTTATTATTGGTCACATTTAATAAACCTTGGGTGTGGAATCTGGTCAATTGATGCTTTCCCTATCACTGCCAAGTTTTTAGCCCCCTCTACTGGTCACACACTGCCAATCACCAACAGTGCTCTTCCTCCTCCTCTGATGACAGATATCTCGTATGCTGCCCTCTGTTGTTCACTGTTGAACATCCACACTTTTTCTTTTCAGGTACAGTACCGGTACAGTATTCTACAGCTTGCAAACACACTAAAAAATAAGCATGCCATGACTTTTGTACCCGAATTCTACATGTTTGCATTTATGCATTTGTCTGTAGCACTTCTACAAGTAACTGAAGGTGTGTAGGGCAGAACCACACAAACTAACAAAAGAAATTTCATTTTAAAATGGTATGACCACAAATTTATTGGAATATAAGGTCCTTAGTACCTAGCGTGTCAATAATGTATGTAAACAAGCACCATTGGATCCAAAAACAATTGTTTCATTTTTTGGAGGGGGAGGGAGGGGCCACACCTCATTTGGCACTAAGGAGGTACTCCCCCCCCCCCCCTTTTGTCATTTCTTTCAAGTTTAGCCCTGTTTTAATTTCATTCAACACTATCAATTTAAAAACACACACAAAACATTATTCGGGGGCAGGGGCATGGCTCCCCTTCCAACACCCCAACCCCTCCCGAAATCTACCAACTTAAAGGAGAAACCTAATGCCCACGAACAAATCGCAAGCAGCATGTGGGAGTGAATAGCAATCACCCGAGTTAACAAGGGATAACACAACCAATCTAGCAAGTTAGCAGCAATGTCAAAATGTCAAATTGGAGAACTGCTCGCCATTATAAGCGTGGGCGGCACTTGGCATGGGGAGCAGGGAATTGAACAATCCAAACATTGGATTGAATTCTCTGCTGGATGTCCTCCTCTTAAGTTAAAGGCATGTAGGATTATTTGCATTTATTCACAAAGTAACCTACCGGTACCAAATTATTAATTGAAAAAGCTTACTTGCATTAAAGTCGAAATCTTCTTTTGTTATCAAAAGGTTGTATCGGTACATGGTCTTTCACTGTAATCTCGAAACGTGTAATATCCACTGAGCTGAAACTTCAACAGGTTAGGTTCTGAACATTCTTCTTTGGGTTTTGAGTGGTTTTGTTATTGGAAAAGAACAAAATGATCCTATATGCCTTTAACAGCCAGTAATTTATTTAACCTGAAAAAAAATCTTTTTTTTTAAATGTTATTTTGCTAGTAATACAAAACTTTATTCACGAATGTGAAATCGCCAAACAATCAGCCCACGTTTAGTTATAACATAATAACAATAATTCAGTTCTCCCAAAGTAGACTGGGTCTGCTCCCATCAAGATCGATAATACAGGGACCAGAAACCAGTTTACTGAAAGCTGAAAGCTGAAAAAATGAAAGCTGTTCTTTCCAAGAGGGTTGCAGATACCCAACATCCCAAAAAAAATTCAATTAAACTAAAACATGCACGTTAAAAAATTCATCAAAGACCAAAAAAAATATTTTGTTGGAAAGCATGGACAGTACATCTTTAAACTCAAATATTCCTTAAAAGTTGTTAACGCTAGAACCATTCCCCGAAACATAGTCTATGGAATATCCCCTTGCACAGCAAGGGTCTATGATATGCGAGCAAATTCTCGGCCATTAGCAAGACTGCGTCTTGACCCCGAGATTCTGACCATTCAGCGGGCACCTTCTATATCGGGTCTTCGGTATTATAATCACCAAAACAAGGCATCCAAATTGACCAATCCACAGCTTAGTCCACATTTCTGATCAAAATTACGCACATTTTGTAAAGTCAACTCCAATTAGCTGGCACGCAGGTCACATACAATTTGCACGTTGGGATATATCAGACATTCCACCGTGGCTCTGCACACATGAATGTCTGATCCTCAGACTTCCAAAACAGGAAGTCATTTTAGAGTCATTTTGAATGTGAAATACATTTGCTTTTAAAGATTTAAGAATTCAGCCAAGTTATCCAAGAAAGCTTATTTACACAGGCAGTAATGGAGACATCTCACTCAATTAAAGTACAAAAAAATCTGGGCACAGGTATACACATCACATGAGTCAGAGGATATAGGATGTCTAGGTTGGTTTCAGCCAACAACCATGAAAGGTTTGGGGAGTGTTTAGCCATAAAGGATGAAACCAACCGAATTTACAACCTGTTAGAATAAACACTGGGCAATCCTGGATCAAAATAATGTTTAGATTTCCAAGTGGTGATAGACAGGACCCATGTACATGTATTAGCCTTGTTCTGATATCATGTTTATTACACATGCCGGCACATGTAATCTATGTGTTGGAACTAGGGGTGTGCATTTACGGGAAGTACAGGAACTGGGTATCCAATCGAGAAAAAAAACGGGTACCCGGGTACCCGTTAAATAAACCCAACCCCAAAATTCAAATCTCGAAAGTTGCTGTTCAGATTGTTCATGAAGGTCTGCACGATAATACTACCACATCAGTGCGTCAATACAGCAAAATACAGTGAGCTCTTTAGCTTTACAGTATAAGTTGCATTTTCGCATAATAGTGCCATTATACTGTGTGCATTTGTTTTCAGGATGTTTTAAAGGTAACACTGCAGTATGTACAAAAATATTGTTACACCGACCAGTTTTGTGTTCATAGATGCTGGGAAAAAAAAGCAAAACATTGCTCTTGTATATACATGTAGTCTGGTCCCCTGACCCTCCTTCAGAGGAAACAGAGCAATGTGTAGACGTCAGAGAATTCTCAGATCAAAGAACCAGACAAGCTTGCTTGCACCCGTTCACGGATGTGTAACCAAAAAAGTGGACATTTGAACTAAATTTGGTAAATTGGGGGCAGTATTGAAAAAAGTCTGTTTGTTCCCAACAATGGTCGGCCAACCATCATTGGAAATTGATACAAAAATTCCACTTTTCTTGAAAATGACAGCATACCAGGTGCCATTATTTCACATGTGCTAGGGACTACGTGTATTATTCACTCACAGTCAATTAACTACAGTAGGCCTATTTCATAATATTTGGCAGTTTTGTTTTTTGATGTTTGCAAATTGTTACCTTTAAGATGGGCCTTTGGAAAGTACATTAAACTTCGCTGACCCAATCAAGAATGGAAGAAGGAAACCGGGCTTGTTTGTACACATTTTGTTTAGGACGACTTTATCTCAGACACAGCTTGGAGGTGAGAGCTTACATTTATTTTAAACAATCACACTAAAAGAAAAAAAATCTTCTCACAAAGAATTGTGGTGCACAATGAAGTGCATAGATTATTCCAAAGGTCCTTTTCTAAGCTAAAATATTGACATACATGTGTATGTACAGTTTCATGCTCTACAGTACAGTAAATAACACTTTCTTTTTCTTCAAAGACTATTTTCATCAAAAAGAATTTTGCATTTTCTGTCGGTGACAGAAATGTGAACATATTTGTTACAGAAATCCTTAAACCAACAGCAGAATAAAAAAAGATTTAATGATCATGCGTCCAAACACCTTCAGAAGATACTGTGTACACTGTACGTGTCTCTTGCCACCCAACATTATGCAGAAATCACCGAAAATGCGACCGTTCTTACTCCCACGCTCGACTCCCGGCTGTGAAACAGTGAATTATAACCCCTGATACTGCTGATCCACAATCAATCATGGTTATTTAACGCTCTGATCCCATGGCAATTGGTTGAATGCAGGGATCCTGACAGTATCCCCCATGGCTCACCCAAGATCTCATGTGAAATGCATGAACTATCTGACAATATTGTCATAAAGCGCTCTGCATTGTTTACATGAAGAGGCATCCCTGTAGAGAGACATCTATAATTAACAGACAAATATCAGGGAGCAAAATTACTGATTGTATTTACGTGAGACACTTTCTGATTATTTTCATATAACATATTTTATTCAGACAAAAACTGACAAAACAAAGAAATCTCGTCAGTCAAATTTGTAAGTGTTAGGCTAACTGCATTCTCAATTTGTCAGAACAAACAATATAAAAAAACAGCATATGCTTGCCCTTTGTGGGGCACTGCAAATTTGGTTGCCCAGATTTTGCACAACATGGAATTTCAGTTGCCTAGTTCTGTCTTTTGTACATCTTTCCTACATGTATGTTATGGATATTCTTTTGACCATACACGTAATGCCAC